AAAGTCTGACATGGAAATCAAAGAACTTAAGGAAAAGGTGAAGGAAGTAGAAACCAAGATTGGCAAAATTAGTCAAATCGAGGCAAAGAATCTGCAAGAAAAAGTTGATGAAGTAATCAAAGTACAGTAAACTGTTAAGCAGATTGAAAGCAATTTGCCAAACAGCCAGTTAATAGAAGAGCCAAAAAAGATGACAGCCACATTTGTCGATGTATCTAAAGTAGACACGCAATGGATATTGCAAATTTGGCTGATGTAACAAGGACAGTCATATTGGCACATGAAGAAAAAGTTGCACAATATATATATATTGTGGAAGCCAGCGAACACCTTAGCCTCCATGTCAACAGTAAGAAAACAAAATGCATAGTAGATTCACAGTCACCAACTTGTAGTAAAAATCCAACAGGTCTCCTCCTTCAATTGTTTAAGAGCTCTTGTCACCTCAGATGCTCGTTGCAAGAAGGAAATCAGACGCAGAATCGGACTAGCAAAAGATGCATTCTCCAAACTCCAGAACATCCTAACAGACCGCAAGCTCAATGCCAATAAAAATCAGACTCAGAACCTTTGTCTGGTCGACTGTCTTGTATGGTTGTGAGTCTTGGACACTGATGACTGAAACTCGGCGCAATAGAGAGGCCGCAGAAATGTGGTCCTACCGCAGGAAGTTCCGTACCCCTTACACCGACCGAGTTGTCCAGCGAGATCCTCAGAAGAGTCGGACGGGGACGCGAGCTTCTAGAACTGATCTGAGTACAACTCAAATTCCTCGGTCATGTAATCCGTAAAGACACATTAAAAGGCCTTAGCCTAAGCGTTAAATTGAAGGCAAGAAAGCTTGAAGTAGGTCGAGAATAACATTCCTCACCAATTTCAATATACATATATATATATAAGCATATATATATGTATATATATACATATATACAAAAATATAAGTATATATATGTATATATACATACACACACACACACACATATACATATATATACACATTTTTTTATATATATAGAAAAGGTATGAATGAGAATGAATATCTTCACAATACAAGAGATGTATTTGACCGGTTTCGAATATATCTTCGTCAGAGATGCATGTATTTCTGACGAAACCGATCAAATACATCTCTTGTATTGTGAAGATATTCATTCTCATTCATATCTTTTCTACATTTGTCAACATGGATACGTTTCATATATATATATATATATATATATATATATATATATATATATATATATATATATATATATATATATATATATATATATATATATATATATGTTTATATATATATATATATATATATATATATATATATATATATACATGTATATATATATATATATATGTGTGTATGTATCTATCTATATATATACACATTGTACCGCGATGTAAGTCAGAAGAAAAAAAACTTGCCATAACATAGAATAACATTATTGATATTACTCACTGAAACTTGTTCTCCTAACAGTATGATCTTCTATTTGTCGACGGGCATCTACATTGTAACTGGCGGATTAATGATGTTTCTAAACGTGGAATTCAAGATGCCTGCCCAGTCGCTCTCCAAGCAGCTGCTCAAGCACCTCGCCAGTGCGGAGGTTCTGATGTTCCTGGGAGCCATGCTGGCCGTCGGTACGTCTCGCCTGTGCCTGATGTGCTTCTTAGCATTTAGCACACATGCACGCACACACACACACACACATTTAACACACACATATGTGTACACACACACATCTATACATATACATATGTATATGTGCATGTGTGTGCATACACATACAAACATGCACGCACGCACGGATTAACATATATTGGGGTTTTGAGTTTATCGTAGACACAATACTGGGTTGAGAACCACCGACAATACTTACGTAACCAACAACTCCCCTGGGCAAGGGTCAACTACGTGATGCCAAGTCGAAACATAAACATGGCGCCAAGTAGCTCGTCAAACACCGCATCGGTGATATCACAAAAAGAAACCACGGTTAGCAGGTTAGCAAGAGCAGAAAGTGAACTCACTGGTTGACTACTGCAGAAAGCAACGGGAATCTACTTTAGCACCTCTCCCGAGTCAGACAGTGCTCAAGATTTCAAAGGAACACTCGGAATTATATATAAATATATATATATATATATATATATATATATATATATATATATATATATATATATATATATATATATATGTATAGATATATGTATATGTCTCTCTCTATATATACATACACATAGCTACACACACACAAACACACACACACACACACGCACATATATGTATGTGTATATATATATGCATGTGTGTGCGTGTGCGCGCGGGCATGTGCATGTATCTACACACACACACACACACACACACACACACACACACACACACACACACACACACACACACACACACACACACACATACACATACACATTCGTAAGCGCGCGCGCATACATATGTATACACATAAATTTATATATAGATACATTTGTATATATATCT